ATGGGGGAGAGAAAGGGAGGGATGGAGGAGGAGGAGAGAAATGGTCGATTTCTTTTTAATTTTCATCCATGTGAAGAGTTCTGGATGTTATATGAAGCTGTTTTAACTAATAAACCTCTGTGGACAAGACTCCGGACAGGATGACCTCTTTGGCGTCACAATTACCCCTAACCTTACTCGAGAAACATGGGCATAGTGCCGTGCTGTCCAGTTGAAATCGCAAATCCTATAAATTGTCCAGTCAGTGTTTAAGTTATGTTTATTAGATCGAGGCCTGTCAGATTTGACGTCAAATGCATAACACAGTGGCTGACCTGCATAGAATCTACCTGACAATTCGATAACAAAGTTTGCTTAAGTTTATATATGGCATGAAATCAGGTTACATGCGACTCACTTTTATAAAACTTTAATACGCTGATTCCGAAAATAAAATCAGTTTTTACATGCGACAAATCTAAATTTCTACACACATAGCGGCAGAAAACTTCATCTCCTGTCTCCCAATTTTGACTTATAAGGCATACGGCTAAATACATTTCTAAAGAGTTGGCCTACACAACGCCTTTTTTTTTTGGTGCCAGCGACTAAAAAAAAGGCGTTCTGTCAGCGAACGTCGAAAAAAAAGGCGTTCTTGTTAAAACGCCTTGTTCAGGGCAAAGCTGACAAAACGCCTTTTTTCTGCCACCGACTGTAAAAAAAAAGGCGTTTTGTCAGCGAACATCTAAAAAAAAGGCGTTCTTGTTAAAACGCCTTGTGTAAGGCAAAGCTGACAAAACGCCTTTTTTCGTGATTATTTGTTTATTTCTTAAAGAAAATAAACAAAATTTATGTTGTACATAGGGGATGACATTCTGATTAGGGTGCGAGTTCAAACATCGATGTACTGCGCAAAGTAGTTGAGATATTGTAAGAAAACAGAAAATCGTTGATTTCTCGAAACTGCTCTGGACAAAAAAAGGCGTTTTGTCAGCTGACGGCAGAAAACTAGTATCAATCAAAGAAAAAACATTATAATAACGCTGTTAAGATTTTAATGGAACACGCAAACACCAAATTTTGTTGACAGGATGATGAAGAGAGAATGGGATTCCTATTATTATAAAGTTAGACGAAAGCGTATTACTTGTTGGTTTGTTGCTGTTTTATGTGTTTGTTTGTGTGTATGTGTGTGGGTTTTTTGTTTAAAAAAATTATTTTTAGGGGGAGGGGGAGTATTTGTTTGTTTTTGTTTTGTTTCTTTTTGTTTGCTTGTTTGGTGTGGGGTTTTTGTAATTTTATTTATTTTTTATTTATTTTGTTTGTTTTGTTTTTTATTTATTTTATTTTTTTTGGGGGGGGGGTCTTTTTTCTCATGACTGACAAAGATATTGGAAAAGTTTATCTGCGTCTTCCCAACATTGCGGCAAAAAAAAAACTTGAATGAAATCAAAGTGCACCTAATTACCTTAGTCAACCTTCTTCTCTATATACAGAGGCATACATACACCAACATAATTTTATAAGAGGCTTATAGTTTTCATTAGCATGACACGAGTATGCTCTGTCTTAAAAAAGGGGGCTATGCTATTCAAATAATGAAGAAGCTCTTACTACACCAAACAGAAGAAGCTCCGCTAGTTCAGTTGGTGTAATACTGGACCATGGAGAAGGTGACCCTGGTTCGAATCCTAGCTTGGGTGTTCTTTTCGTGGAGTTTTTAAGGCTCTCAACCCTTAAGGTTCGGTCCTATCGGAGACTGACATTAAATTCGGCAGTCCTTACTCTTAAATAACCTAACAGTGTTGATAGAGGTGTTAGTCCCGGGCACATTATTTATACACAGTCAAAACAGACATATTATTCTCATTGTTATAATGATCTTTTGTTTTTGGACAGGTAATAATATATAATTTATTAGTGATGGTCTGAGGCGGTGCTTGTCAACCCTTTTATGGACAGAGCCCTCTTTAAGCACCTTTAAGAAGCTAACATTTTCGAATTGCCCACTTGTATTTTCAAACGG